TGAAATTTCTTGGATTCGTCCTGAAAGCGATAATACGGTAAGACTCTGTAGGAAGGAAGTTCTGCTATCACGGACCATACTCGTGGCACCAGTATCTTTGGATGCATCTGCTCGTCATCTTTTCCGTACACTTCAAGTCGAGTTACAAAAATCTTTTGCCAGAATATTCCTGTACAGTTTTCCTGAAAAAATATAGTAGCAGGCTGTTATCTAGCGAAATTTCAACGAGAGGAGTTGATAGAATTACCCTTGAGGTGATGGTTGGGTCGTTACAGGCAGCCAGTTTGCCTCCGACAATTTGAACTCCAAAACTTGCAAATATAAACATTACAACAATCATAAGAATGGTTACCTGAAATTGCAAATTTGATTACCTCAGTTCAGGAAGGGTGGGCAAACATCTGCAGTTGGTCTTTTGTTCATGGCCCACATACGATTCTAATAAAATTCACTTATTTGTTCTTTATTTCATCCCCATTCTGAATCTTCACAGATACATAGTGCGGTTAAGCCCATTTCCATGGTTTCCGAGTGGGGGGCTGAGGTATTGAAGCGACAAAAGCGAAAAATAAAAACTAAATCACCAGCAGAATTTCTTTGAATCCACGGAAGAACTCCATAACAACTCTTCTAATATGAGGAACCAGTGTATATACCCGTAGAGGCCTCATTGCACGGAATATCATTAGAAGTTGAGCAAAGGAGTTGATCTCGACATGACGAGGCATCCACATCAGAAACGCTACGCTCGTCTGAAAAATAGCTTTTGTAGAATCATGGCGTTTAGACGTATATTTTGAACCAAGCTTCTTCTTCCCCAGCTTGTTCCTCACAGTTATGCTACAATATGGCGAAACAGGATTGGCACCTTACCCAACCCATCCCATTTATACCATTCCGAAAGCGACGGGTAAATTGAATGCATTTGGGGATTCTGGATATTAATGAAAACGTTCAGAGCCCCATTATTGATGAACTGCCTAACTAGAGGTAAGATTATGGTCGCGTGGCTCGATACCGGACCATTGAGGAATGATTGCGAGACATATCGTCGAAGGACGAAACAACAGATCTGGGGAAGGGACGATATGTTCCACAAATGTACCACGTCGACATTTAACTCGAACGAGTGCTCCCCACAACACTCAACAATACCCTGGGAACCAAAAAGTTGGCAGCAAATTTTGGCTAATCCGCTCATTTAGACCTGAACGAGCAAAACCTGAGTGTGACCTGTGAAGCATGAATCAAATCGCCATGCAAACAGAGCTTCGATAGAGAAAGTGCTCGCGGAGCAGCTGTAACTCGGGTGAAGTAAAGGTCCCTAGAATCACTGTACAACAGAACTATATTTATAATCACACCTCCGCTTGGGCGGAGGTGGTGTAGTGACAAATGGCGCACAGTCTCACATGCATAGCACGGGTACATAGCACCATGGGCCAACCATGTATCCATCCCTCCAGGGCCGGCTAAATAGGCTGGCCACCGCGAGTCATTGTATAGGCCACATATGCACTCAATACACCACTATGATTCTGAATAGAAGTTGAAGGTGTGAGCGCATCCCTCAGATGGTATCGACTGACGCTGAAAACTTTATTCTTTGCCTTCACACTTGTGTAGATATATTCGAAGCTGCGAGAAAAGGTGTGTGGGAAAAGGTAATAGGAGTATAGAAAAGGGTATCTCCCTTATTCAAAAATGAACTATTAGTAAACTCACGAAGTAGATGAACATGGTCATAACGCCACCGACATCACTGACCACAGCTTTTGGTGTGAAAAATAAACCATTCGCTATAATTTTCAGCAGTAACTCGAAGGTCATCGTCAGTACAAAGACATAGTCGGCAATCTGTAAAGCTCATCATCAGGGATTGGTATGCTAAATCGCAACTCTTAGGTTCCGAGACTATGACTGTTTAGGTTACATACTACATATTCCCTGGGCGACGGGCGTTAGGAACGATTTTGAGTAAACGATTCGCCGCACGCGGCTGTCGCGGACCACTCATTCGCCGTTATTACAGCTCTAGCGTTCTTCATACAGATCGATCGATATGTGATCATTATTTTATGCATAATTCTACTATTAGTACTTTTGTTCATGTATT